TTATTATTAGGGAGCAGTGGCGAGCGGTTAGTGCGCTCGCTTCCGAAGCTGAAAGTCTGGGTTTGAGCCTTGGTTCGCCAATTTTTTCGCCCCCTCCTGCCCATCCAGCAGTAATGGGTACCTGACTTCGAGTTGGGGAAGTAAAGGCAGCGTGGAACCGTGGAAAGGAACTGGCCACCCTACCACAATATGCTGAAAGCCCAGGAAGTCGTCTCACTAACAAGGCAATCCCCAATGTTCGGATCGGATGCTGGAACAGTTTTACCTTTCTTTTTATGTTCATTTGTAACGTATTTCTGCGTGGATTTTACTGAAACACATTGATCACAGGCAAAAATATTTGTTGCAGTTTCAATGACTCCCAAGCTTTGGAAACCACCACATTTTGGCGGCCATTGTCTCGCTTTCTTGGCCTCCGACATCTTTCAATCACCAATGTTTTACTTCTATTTATATCATAATATGGGTATTTTTCACCAAAATCAAGAAAAATTAAACTATCAATAATTCCAAAAATTGATAAAAGTCTGATTTCGTTGCGTCACAACACATAGTATTTTCTCTAAGACGTATGTTTACGTTGATATTTCCACAATTCCACAATCTTACAATTTTTTCCACCTTTATTGCAAAGTAATTTATATAATCTAATTATATGATATATTATTCACTGTAAATTGTAACTACTCTTTCAAAAATGCATTTCACACTTACTCAGATCAGTTATAAATAAATGTATTGTTTTAAGAGGATCTCTCTGCCTCGGTGTGCTTTCCATACTGGGCGGCGTCGGTAGTCTTGTAGTCAGGCTAGCAGGCTCGTAATCGTGTGATTGGGGGTTCGGGCGTTTGAGGCTCTGCTTAGTCCACTGTTGTGGCCTTGAGAAATGCACTTTACAAGTTTCTTTTTCCCTTTGGCCCTGTCTTCTCGGAGAGGAAAGTTAAATTCAGGAGTACCACTTCTCAGTTAACTTGTCAAGGCTACATAAGGGTGTAAAACCTAAACAGCTTCGCACATTATTCTTTCTGTACTCATGTACGTGGTGAAACACTAAACCAATGTGCCAGGAACTGGATAATAAAGAAGTATCTTATCTTATCATGGCTCTGTGTCGTTTTTGTTTCTGTTTAACCATTGACTCAGATATAACAATGCCATTGGGAACACTGACACACGGAGCATGCTCCCACACCAAGGACTTCTTTGGGTACACAACCAACACCGGTGTCGAGGACGACAGTACAACAACAAGAGTTGCCTCTAACGTTAGTTATTGCTGACGCCGTCACGGAGAAAGTTGACGACACCGACACGAATTGGAACAACGATACGGACAATGACACTGACTCCACGAGAAACGGAAACACGGGAACGGATGGGCGAGTCAAAATGTAGCTCTAGTTCTTCTTTCCGTAAGGGAGAATTACTTCCCTTGATCGTGGGCGTGGTCCCTGCGGGGATAGTTGGAGCCGTAGTGGTCGCTGTTTTGACTTGAATGTGGCCCAAGAATAAAAAAACGGACGCAAGAAAACGAAATACAGGATGAGATAAATAGTATAACAAAATACGTGGACACTTGTTTTAATGTGTGTGTGTGTGTGTGTGTGTGTGTGTATGTGTGTGTGTGTGTGTGTGTGTGTGTGTCGAGAGAGAGAAAGAGAGAGAGAGAGAGAGATA